CACATTAAACATGCAAGTAAATTTGTTATGATGAGGGTTACAATGACCTAAGAAATTAGGAATATGCTGTGTTTAATCTTGCATCGATGCCAAATAGACGTTAAGTTGCTACTAAACAAAATGATTTTTGATCTGTGCATTTGTCAATTCAAATACATTTTCACATAAACCATACTCCAGTTTGGAACGATGCGACAGGTCTGTGTGATTATCTACCTATAATAATAGCATTATGGCAATTTTATGTGCTATCCTGGTGTCAATATGGCCCAGTCAAACACAACCACCTGATTATCTTAACCAAAGTTCCCCTAAAGTCTCATCCGTTAGTGAATGGAACTTGACCAGGGTTTGGGTGTTCAACTTAAGTATGACTTGAACTTGGGTCTACTGATCACAATCCAATGCAGCACCAACTACACTAAGTGAATAATTTTTCTTCAAGCTGCAGCAGTACAAATTCTTCCAATTAAAAACAATTTACTTTCAAAATAAAAAAGACGCCAACCCCAGAGTGCTCTATAAAAACTCACAGGTTAATGACTGTATGGAGTCATTGAACGAAAGCATTTGAGTAAAATGTTTGTGAAAAGACATTACCAATAATGTCTTTGCAAGTTTCATGCATAAATCTCACAGCAAAAAAAAAACAAAAACATGAATTGTTCAACTGTTGGTTCAAATACTCTTGGTTAGAACTGAATAATTTCATCTGAGGTTTTTTTTAATATCAATTTCACAGCTTATAACTTCAAATTCAACTAACTGCTGGTCAAAACTACATCATGAATAATGTGTTTGTTTTCTGTCTATGATATTCACCGAATCAGGTCAGCATTTAAAAATGTTTCCCTCTAAGTGCATTGTTTTAGAAAATCTATGATCATTGAACGCCAGCCTGCCATAGACAAAAAAAATAAATTCTGTCATCACCCAGTAGTCATAGAAAAAAATCAAAAATAATAATTCTTATCTTGAGAAGAAGGAGTTTTTAAAGTTATACACCTACAAGCCTAAGGTAAGTTACAGATGGGTAAATTCCATGGATGGGTATCCATGGAAACCACATACAACCAGAGATGGATGAAAATTAGCAATCACAATCAATTAACAGTGTCTTTGTTAATAAAGAATTAAAATAGATATAATGCATATTTTTTTTTTTTGGAAGAATTTCAAAAGATGTTAATAATAAATTGTAGTGGTTTAACTAACTACATTAGAAACCGACATTAAGCAGAGCAAGTGAAATATGAAAGGTCTGTATTATGCACTTCAAGGCAGTAGGCAGTGACAGAATTTTTTAAGATGCAGGGCTTTTTAGAACAACAAAGCTGTTTGATAAAAGATTGTACATTGTTGAGGGTACCTACCTTCAACTGGTGGTCTAACAGGTCCACTATCCAGACTGCCACCAAAACCAGCAACATTACAATACGGCGGAGCCCAATTCTTATTACAGTGACAGTGATTTTGACTGTTACATACCTATCATACAATCAGAACATTTGTTTGTTTGAAAAAAACTAAACATGATGTAAACATAACGAAATAACAAATAGTTAAATATACAATATGTAATTAATAATATTGGCATTTGATAAATTATATTGATAAATAAATGGGGGTAGGATTTATCAAGACCTGGAAATCTGAGTATTTGTTCGATGTGCATTGGTTGTTTTGATATATACAATGACAATCACTGCAGAAGTTGGTGGTTTTATTGGTGATTTCAATTTCCATCTAATGAAAACTTTTTTTTATTCATTATAAATCTTATTCCGATTTGGTCTACAGTATGGAGTATCGAATAACAGTATCAAACAATACAAGTTTCACCCATATTGCATTTTTAATGCTTTGTTTGCAATGTGTGGCTGTCTCAGACAGATATAATTATATTTATTGCACATTTGTATTATTTGTGATGTAATGATACATATATACCACATGTACCCTGGAATAAAGCTGCATTGCTCACTCTGACAGTCTCCAGTCTCTATCAGGAGAATACTGCTATGCACAGCACACATCATATACAATTCCTGTTTTCAAGTTAATTTTTTTAGTGGGATACTGAGCTTGCATTTTGTAGGATAAAAAGTGCTAAATTGCTTTTAATAGCGAAACAATGTGAGTGCTTGCTATCAGTATATCAGTATATCAGTATATCTGGTGTATGTGTATGTACACTTACCCCATTAAATGAACAATTGTATGGACATTGAGTAAGACCTAACTCAGCTATCGATGTGCATTTATTTTCATAACACATCTGAAATAAATTGAGTATTTACAAATGAGTATAAATTGCAATCAATAATCCTTTTTACCTGATGAGTAACAAAGCATATTTGGATATCAACACATTAATTCCAATATAATCACAACTTGTCCAGGCCCTCAAGGTCATATCATTCCCACAGGCAATTTTCAATAACCATAGAAATTTTGGATCGTGTTTTTTTCAATAATAATCAAATTTTGTATAAATTATAGAAATGAATATCAGTGCTTTAATTACACAGGAGAATATTATGAATATTACGAGACAATGAAAACTGGCTTTTTTGTAAAGGGCAATGGTTGTCACGCCATGCATGTGCCACATTTGTGTTGCGAAACTTTTTCCCACAATTCAATGCACTTTTCTAAGGAAATTACGAGTACATGTTTTGACCTGGATGTCACTTACACTTAATTACGACCGATGACTCCTTCAAATCACCAAACAAATTACCCAAGTAAAGCTTGGTAACCTCTAAATTTGTACTTGTTGGTCTCAGCAAGACAAAAGCCGCCATTTTTGTTCATACATGTATGAGACCCTTATCTCGCATATTGTGGTACGATGACCATTCAGTGTTCTCCCCAGGCCTCTGAAGCGACACGGTACCGTGACGCTTGGACACTCGGTCGTGATGCTTGCCCTTTGTCCGTGACGCTTGGTCACTCAGCCGTGATGCTTATATTTTGTCAGTCTCGTCTTGCACGTATTTAAAACAATAACATGTATTGATCGAAAGGTAATCCCGCTTTTGTTAGCCATACAAAGACGGTGATAAAAACGGAAGTCTGCAATATGTTGCGAAGTCTTTCAAAGGTGCAGAGCCTCCAAATCAAAAAAAAAATAACTAGAATAGCAATAATTTGCCCATTGCACGCAACGGCAACAATGTGACAAAACAAGTCACGGCGTACGTCGGGAAGATCAACCCCGATTTGCTGCACTCTGATTTGTTATCACTCAATCGCTGGTGACATTATTTACTCCAAAATTAAAAAAAGAACAAGTGAAATTAAGTCGCATTGGAAAGAAAAGTATGAATAATTCAACAGCAGACGAGACGGGATGAGACAAAACAAACTCTGACCTCTGAAAATACCCCATTCATAGGGTACCTTAGTACAGAAAAACGCCGCCCTAAGGCGACATAATGCACGTTGCAACATTGTGACCTATGCATGCTGGGCTATCAGGGGTTCTGATCGAGGTAACAAAGATGGCGGCGCAGAATGCATGATTTTCCGCGATGTTTAAAAACAACATCTCGTTGGCAATTTAGATGTAATGCTTATGATAATCGTCAATGAATCGTTTTAATAAACAATTTGTGTATTTCACACCAAAAAGTCAGATACCGATGATCGCAATAG